TAAGGCCATGTTTGACAAGTACTTCACCGGCGGTGGCGATAGTGTCACCCAAACTGATCCACAAGAGGGCAAATACTATGTCTACTGGTATGAGATGTGGTAACCAATTGATCCCATTGTGTGAATCATTTGTTTTGATGACCGTAAATGTAGTGACAAATCAAACCGTAATTTCTATCGAGTTTTGGTAAAAACGGTGGACACGACGGCCGCCAACCAGTCGTTGATTGTGTTCGTGGACTTCGGTTACGCGGAAGTTGTGGCCAACGATCGGCTCATGGTTTACGAGCCGCTGTTTGTTGACTGCCGTCCATTAGCCGAGCCGTTCATTTTGGGCGGCGTTTGTCCGCCGAAAAATCAACCAAAAGGTATCGATTGTTGAGATAATTGACACATAGTATTGAGTATTCATTGTCTCGCTGTCCATATCTTATAGGTTGGGATCAGATGAAAGTCAAACAATGTTTGAAACGCTATCTAAACGCCGTCTTGTGGTTCGCGATCTACGGCTCCGCACCGGCGCTGGACGTGGCGTTCGCACACCTCTCCAGAAAAGTGGCCAAAGTTTACGATAACAATCGTCAGGAGATTTTGGCCAAAACGCTGTACAACGAGTACTACAACGCGGTTATCGATTCCGGTGCCAACAGCGGCGGCGCAATTAATGACTCGACACCCAATTTGATTGCAATTGATTACATGGATGGACGGCCGGCACCGGCATCTGTGACCTCTCAACCGTTGGTCGAAATACCGCGCGATTTGTCCATCGATTCCAGACTTGAGTCGGCGCTGAATTTGACCGAAAGCTTCAACACATCCACTCTATCGCTGATATCGGACTTTAGTCACAGGTTTACGACTGTCGTCGACGGCATCGTTGACGAGACGGTCGATTTACTGAAAGACCGACTCAACGGCCGCCGGGCGGACAGCGAATCCATGTCCGACACCCAGAGCTGTAGCGAACAGAGCTTTAGATCACAACCTCTTAAGGTTAGTGCCGAAAAACTGGTCAATTTAGTGGACAATTCGGCCAAATGTGGCGACAATTTGGACGCTGAGATCAATCGCAGTGTTGAAGAATTGGACGCGAAGATCAGATCCATTACCGGCGAGGATAAGGCCTGCGATAAGCAGAGCGTTTTTGGCGAGAGTTCGACCGCGAAGTCTGTGAAGTGGAATCTGGCCGAAGATAACGCCACTAATGACACCAATTCGGTGACAACTAATAGCATGAATTGCGAGCCGGGATCTGACGCCGACATCGACGAGCCCTCTGATGACCAATCGGTGAAAAGTGGGCCGAAAATGACCACAAAAATCACGCCAATCAGAATCCCAGACGCGGACTCACTGCTGACGTCCGAATTGGACGATCTAATGGCGGATCAATTGCACGATTTGTCCAAATCGAATGCTGTGGTGAAGATATCGAACGCCGAAGACTCGTCGTCCGTGTGGTGTCAACTGCAGAGCTCGGCCGAGACGCTGGAAGCGCTGGTGTCCGACATGACC